TGCCAAAAGGTAGGAAATTGAAAAAACAAAACAAAACAAAACAAAACTGTATACACACAGAGAGTCAGAGGAGACAGAAAAAAACAGAGGAGAAGATATATGCATATAAAGTATGGATTCAGTTCTATCACATTTAAGAATTTCAGACCATATAACAATTATTATGAAAGTTAAGGCAGATATAATGATCCCTGACACACAGAATTTAAATTTCCAAGATAGAATCAAGCAAACATAAGAAGTTCATACATTGGATGTGGAGTGTAAATAAAACACAATGCTTCTCAATATTTAAGGATTCAGCAGTTTAAAGCACCACTTAAGATCCTTGCATCCCATAATGAATCCCGGCTACCCAGCATGTCAGATCTAGCTCCCTACTAGCACACCTGGAAAGCAGCAGACGAGGTGATGCCTGAATCGCTGGGTTCCTGTTGCACCTGAAGAAGTCAAAGATGGAGTGCCTTGCTCCTGCTTCAGTTTAGCTCAGCCCTGGCTGCTGCAGGCATTGTGGGAATAAGCCAGAAAATGGAATTCTTTCTCGCTCTGTTTTCTCTTTCTTCTCCTCCTCTTCCTGGTTCTCAAATTTTAAAAATCTTAAACAAAAACAAACACTCTTGAAGCTATAGAATTCAGTCACTGGTTAAAAAATTCAAAAATTTTGGACCCAGCACGATGGCTCAGTGGCGAAAATCCTCACCTTACACACACCCAGGATCCCATATGTGCTCCAGTTTGTGTCCCAGCTGCTCAACTTCCCTTCCAGCTCCCTGCTTGTGGCCTGGGAAAGCAGTTGAGGATGGCCCAAAGCCTTGGGACCCTGCATCCACATGGGAGGCCTGAAAGAAGCTCTTTGTTCCTGGGTTCGAATTGGCTCAGCTCCAGCCACTGCAGTCATTTGAAGAGTGAACCAACAAATAGAAAATCTTTCTCTCTGTCTCTACTTCTCTCTGTATATCTGCCTAATGAAAATTTAAAAAAAAAAAATCTTGAAAAAAATTTTAAATTGCTATATCCAAAACAGTACAGGAAAAGTCTCAAAACTGATCAAGAATCAATTTAAACATATTTTAAATATATTGTGAAGATGTGGAAACCTTAGCAGAAAGAAATGCAGTCATTGAGCATGGTTAGCGATTGCACAAACTCTGGACAGAGGCCACACTGGAAACGAAAACTTTCATCTTTGAACAGTGTGGTCAAAGTCATTCCTGCTCCACCAACCCTGTGTGTTGCCACTGCCAGCTGCCAGGGGATCTAGACAACATGTCCCAGCAGGGACTGCTAGGTGATGAGTCTCAAAGTGTGGGCCACTGGCCCTGCCTCTTCCTGCAGACACCACCTCGGGGACATCAAGTGGAGCTGTGAGGCACTGTGGTGAACACACACAAAGGGGAAGCTGAGCCCAGAAGAGGCACACACCAAAGCTCAGAAGTCCTGCCAGGTCAGAAGAGTCTTATCTTCTTTTCCAAGTGTGCACAATTAGGTGAAGAGACAGTCTTTGTTATCAGAGACATGGTTCTGAAATTTACTTATTATGCAAAGGAGGCCAAACAGCATCACCTGTCTGAGCTCATTTCCTTACTTGCAAAATGGGCAGCTGTGAGGTAGGCATTGTGGTGCAGCAAGCTAAGCCAGCGCTTACAATGCCTGTAACCCTAAAAAGCTGATCTGAGTCCTGGCTCCTGTCCTTCCAATCCAATTCCCAGCTAATGCACCTTAGAGCAACAGATGACAGCTTGAGCACCTGAATCCCTGCCACTCACATAGGAGACTCAGAAAGAACAGCAGGCTCCTGGCTTTTGCCTGGTCCAGCTCCGGCCATTGTTTTATATATATATCTCTGTATCACTCTGCCTTTCAAACAAATAAAGTTTTGTTTTTTTTTTTCTCTCTAATGGGGAGCTGGATCCTCCTTTCCAGGGTTGTTACCCATATTAATGGGTAAACTTCTGAGCACCCATTTCCCGCCCCCCTCCACTGGCATAGGAGATGCTTCACACATGACTGATACCAGAAATGCCAGGTGGGGTGTGCAAACATGTGAAAACATGAACACTAAGCTCAGCAACAGAGGAAGAGAGGAAAACCAGTCCCCTAACAGAGCCCTTTACACTCAGCTTGAGTCCCTGCAGGCACCACAGCTCTTGCCTTCAGAAAAGACTGGGAAGGACAACTGGGGTTTCCTTTGGAAGTGCCACTGCTGGTGCCAGTGGTCTCTAGGTAACCATCATGCTGAAACTGGAGGGCTTTATCCCAGGAGATGCCTCTAAGGATAGCAAAGGTACCTGGGCAGGGCACAGCACGCATGCCCAGGGAACTAAGAAGGGGAAAAAGTCATCAGCCTCCTGGCCTGCTGACAGCCAGCCAGAGCTGTCAGAGTTCCACGTCCCACCCCTCTAGGGGAGGAGAAAGGGGATGGGCCATGAGCCTACAGCCTGGGAGAGGCCAGCTCAGGCCTAGACCGACGCTGGCACAGGACAGAGGTGAGTCTGCAAACCCGGCCACGGGGCAGAGGGAAATTCCAAGGATAGGACCCTCCAGGAAGTTCCTAGTGCCTCTGGGTACCACTTTCTTTTGTCCACACATTTACCAGGGTTTCCTGCAGGACAGGCCCTGCCCTAAGCGTTAACACCCCTGCATGCAGGTGACAAAGGTCCCTGCACTCCTTTGTATCCTCTGTCTTAGTGCTGGGGGGGTTGGGGGGGAACCAATACACAAAACCCAAACAATGAGATGAGTTTGTTCCTTGCTTGATAGGAAGAGAGAGAGAAAAAGAGCAGAGTGATGAAGCCTGGGACCTTAAAGAGGTGTTAGGAGCTGGTACTGTGGGCTAGTGAGTTAAGCCACAGCCAGCAACACCAGCATACCATGAAGATCTAGTTGCTCCACTTCTGATACAGCTCCCTGATGATGTGCCTGGGAAAGCAGTGGAAGATGGATCAAGTAATTGGGCCCCAGTACTCACAATGGAGACCTAGATGAAGTGCCTGGCTCCTGGCTTCAGTTAGGCTCAATCTTGGCTGTTGTAGCCATTTGGGGCATGAAGCAGCAGACAAGATCTATGTCTCTGTAACTTTGCTTTTCAAATAAATTAACTTAAAAAGAGAGAGAGAGAGAAAGAGAGAGAGAGAGAGGAAGAAAGAAAGAAAGAAAGAAAGAAAGAAAGAAAGAAAGAAAGAAAGAAAGAAAGAAAGAAAGAAAGAGAAAAAAAGGTATTAGAAGTGCCTCAGAGAGGTGAAGTTGGGAGAGCTAGAGTGCTCTGGGCTAAGAACTTATCTCCAGCAAAGGCTGCTGGGAGAGGGAGGCCTAAAAAGTCTGGGACAGCCAGGAGCAGTGAAGGTTGGAGGAGCAGAGGCCTGGCAGGGAGCAGTGAGAACAGGTGGTCCCAAAGGAATCCAGCCAGCAGCCCTGTGGGGCCCCATCCTGCAGAGGCATTATTGGGAAGCTTACTGCCACCATACGACCTGAGCAAGTACCTCCTGCAAAACGGTAAGCAAAGCAGCACCATTAGGTGCTGTCAGAGGAAGAAAGGGAGGAGTGAAAAGAGGCAGTCTGCCAGGGGGTGACCTTTTGTTTACTGCCAGCCAGGCTCTAGGCACTCAAGGAAAAGCAGAGCTAACTTCTCAGGAACTCACAGCCTTGGAGTAGAGGACATAGGGACTTGCCTCCAACTGTAATAGCCTACAGTGAGGACCACAGGAGGGTGCTGCAGTTAGGAGGGTTTCACAGGAGAAGGGCTCTGGGAAGCTGGGATGCTTAAGGAGCACCAGAGAGGTACACTTTTCTAGAATCAAGTCAGAGAGATCAAAGGGTAGGAGGAGAGTGGCAGGAGGCCAGGTTCAGGACAGTGGCCAAGGTCAGTAGGCAGGTGGCGTGCCAGGGACAGAGGGCACCAGGAGTAAATATCAAAATGGGAGAGGAAAGCACGTGATTTGTGGTTGAAGTGTTCATCCTAGTAGCTGAGAGAATAAACAACACAGATGCCAAGGCCATGAGAGGTATGGCAGCCTAGGAGCAACCGGATTTGGGAGACTTGCAAACTACAATGGGCTGTACCTGGGGGCTTCTTGGCTATGGAGCACTGGGGGCCACAAAGAGACCAAGGGTTTGCCATGAAGGAACAGGACCCACCCTGGCTGAGGGAGAAACCCAGGGGTCCCTAGAAAACACAGCGCAGTCAAGGAGCTGGCTTCCCCTCCCATGCTGCAGTACCGCAGGGCTCACAGACACAGTGCTGACTGAATCCTGGGCCAGGGCCTCAGCAGTCACTTTTCTTTGGCACCACGGCACAAGCTTATTCTTTTACCTAGAAACACCAACATCCTATATGGATGCCAGTTGGTGTCCTGGCAACTCCAATCTGGCTTTCCACCTATGGACTAGGAAAGCACTGGAGGATGGCTTGAGTCCTGGGGACCTTGCACCCATATGGGAGACACAGAAGAGGTTCCTGGCTCCAAATAAACTCAGCTCTGGCCACTATGGGAATTTGGGGATTTCTCTGTCTCTCCCCTCTCTCTGTATACCTGCTTTATCAAATAAAAATAAATAAATCTTTTAAAAATGTACTTATTGGAAAGACAGAGTAACAAGGCTACTCCTGCTGGTTACCTTAGATGCCCTCAATGCCTGGAGCTGAACCAGGAGTCTGCAACTCCATGCAAGTCTCCCACATGGGGAGCGGGTTCCTATGTACTTGGGCCACCCTGTGCTGTTTTCTCTGGTGCATTTTCAGGGAGTCAGAAGCAGAGCAGCTAGAACTTGAACATGTGCTCCAATATAGTCTCTGAGTGTCACAAGCAGTGGCTTAACCCACTGAGCCACAAGATCACTGGCCACCAGCCCCTTTTCAAAGAGGGCTGTTTTCCTCCCCTGAGCACCTCCCAACTGATACATAACCCAGGACAATTCTTCTTGCACAAAGGTACTTGGCATCACCTAATTGCTGGGAGCTGATCTTCAGAACAGCCAGACTAGAAGTGTTTTTGCTCAGAGACCAGGCCGACTTAGGACAAGATGGGCAGTCCAATACACCGGGTATCACTGGGGGACACATGGAGCAGGAACATGCATCCTGACATTCAGAGCGAGCGGCGTGTGCAGTCCTTCAATGTGGAACGGCTCACCAACATCCTTGATGGGGGTGCCCAGAACACTGCACTCCGAAGGAAAGTAGGTAAGAGGAGGCTGGGGCATGGGGTGCCTGAGCTTTTGTGGGAAGAAGAGTCCTTTACATCTTCAAACAACACCCTTTGCTCTTGAGATCCCACTTGTTAGCAATACCAATATTCCCTGCTCCTATCTGAGGGATGGACCAGTCCCAGGCAGCACATCTGGGCCTCAGCTGTCTCCTCTATAAAATGACCTCACTGTTCTCTTCCCCTGCAGAGGATATCATCTGCAGTGACCCGCAGTTTAGCCGTAAGGACAACTACTTCATGAACCGGAGTGAGCTTTATGAGGCTGCCACGCGGAAGAGATGTCATCTACAGAAGACAGCAGAGCGCCTGGGCTGGTTGCAAGAGGGTCTTGAATTATACTATGCTCAGAGGTGCTCACTTCTGGGGCAGCCCTCTGCCAGAGATCATCGGGAATCCCCTACCCCCAGCCCTGTGAGCCATTAGAGCCATTTTCCCCAACAGAGGCAGAATGCTAGGAGCCCCTTTTGTCCCCCATTCTGAACCCTCAACCGTAGCATCTCTCCTCCACAGAGTTCTTGCTGAAGACCTGAACTTAAACTTACAGCAAGTCTTCATGAACGCCCTCAACAGCCTGGGCTCAGAGGAACAGATTGCCAAATGGGGTCCACTGTGCAGGAACTACCAGATCATCATAACATATGCGCAAACAGAACTGGGGCACGGTGAGCAAGGGTTGCTGCATGTGGTATCCAGGTTGTGCACTGTACAACCCCAGGGCATCCATTCACATCTCAGATTTGCAGGCCTGTATTTTCAGATCCATATATTTAAGATGAAAGCATGCCAGCAGATGGCAGTCAAGGGTCTTGTGGAAGGGGTGGCCTTTTCTAATTTGTGCAAAACATACTGTGTGAGAATACTTTCAAGTGTCTGGAAAAACGAGATTAACAAAGTTTATTTTGAGGTAAACAAAATCATTGCAATCCATGCACAGCTTTTTCACAAAATGCATTCTTCATGTACTTTTCATGGACTTAAAAACATTTCTGTACCAAGATAATCTTACCTGTTTGCTCCCTTTTCCATGTACTTTTTGAGTTACCAATAGGGCAGGTGACTCCTTCCGGAAACATTAGCATCACCCTGCCAAGGACTGGCACAGGGAGCTTTGTGTCCCCACCAAGGCCACAGATGGAAGAAGAAAAAAATTCCTACAAGTGCAGTTGGGAATTGGGCCCAGTCCATATCACACAGCTGCCTCAGGGTTCCAAACTCACCTGGAAGAACTCTGCCTGGGCCCCATGTCTAACACCTCTCCTTGATCCCAAGGGACGTACCTTCAAGGCCTGGAGACCGAAGCCATCTATGATGCAGCAACCCAGGAGTTTGTGATCCACAGCCCCACAGTTACTGCCACCAAATGGTGGCCTGGTGACCGTGAGTATCCCTCCATCCTGCTTCCCCATCTATTCTCAACATGAGCAAAATCAGAGGGCATGGTAGCATTGGCTACTGTTGGTTTCCTCTTCTGGGCTGGGGATGCTGGGCACATCAATTCATCTGCCTGCTACTCTATCAAACAGGCTGGGGTACGTCTGTGTGGAGGGGGGAATGTGAAGAATTTCATTAGGTGAATGGTTGAGATGATGCCCCGGGGGACCCTGCAGTAGATAACGGAACCAAGCCAACCTTTGGAAGATGAGGGATAGGTGTACACACACACACACACGTCATAGGTACAACACAGTCACATACAAACACTTAGCCTAGGCCCAGATACAACCCTAATTACTCTTACTTCCTGAGTCAGGGGTTAGACTTGCCTCCAGCCACAACAGGGAGCAAAGCTTCCAACCCTGCCAGGAACTCAGACAGCCTCTGCTACCTCCTGTGCCAATCAGGACACCTGCACTGTGTTGGTCTCTGTGGCCACCAGGTGGCAACTGCACCAAACATCCCTGAAGTTCAATGCTGCCAAGTTCTAAGAAAGGGGTCCCATCAAGGTCTCCTGCCTTGGACTTAGGAATACACTACATGGCACATGGGGACCCAGTCAGGGAATGGCTTATGTGGAAAAAAATAAATACAAGTATAAAGAGTCCCAACACAAAACAAGCAGAGTGATGACAAAGATGGTGGAAAAACAAACAGAAAGTAGGGCAAGACAGGAAGAATAAGTGAGAGAGGTAAAATGACCATCAGAGCATTTTTTTTTCTTATTTGAAAGGCAGAGAGACCAAGAGGGGGAGAAGGAAAGGGAGAGGGAGAGAGAGAGAGAGAGAGAGAGATCTCACATGTGCTGGGTCACTCCATAAATGCTCACAACAGCTGGAGCTGGTTTAGGCCAGCATTCTCATGTGTGTGACAGGGACCCAACCCTGTTAGCCATCTGCTGGCTCCCAAGGGACACATCAGTAGGAAGCTAGAGTGAGGAGTCATAGAGGGTTTTGACCCCAGGCACTTGAAATAATTTGGGCATTCTAACTGGTGTCTTAACTGCAACACTGACCTTGAACATCAAAATCAGCCATTAACATCAGGTGTGGTGTAAGCATTATGGCCAAGCAAGTTACACAACCTTCTGAGAAGGTGATGTCCCTTATTGGAGCTCTGGTTCGAGTCCAGGCTACTTTGCTGCCAGTCCAGCTCTCTGCTAATGCACTTGGCAATGAAAGATGGTTTACATATGCCTCCAACATGGGAGACTTAAATGAAATCCCTGGCTCCTGGCTTCAACCTGGACCCAACTCTAGTTGTGCAGCCATTTAGGGGAGTAAACCAGCAGATGAAAGATCTCTGCTTCTGTCTCTCCATTGCTCTACCTTTCAAATCAATGCATTTTTTAAAAAAGAAAAGAAAAAGAAGTTGGACTGGGGACAATCCAGGCTAGGCGGACTGTACCTACTGGTACATGCATAAGCCAGAGTGGGTGTGGGTTTGTTGGGCTTTGCCACAGCATCAGCTGGCAGATGCTGGCATAGGGACAAACTCTGTTGAGTTAAACTGTAGTGCCACCTGGAGAGTGCAAAATCCAGGAGTGGGAATAGGCCAATAAGGAAATAGTGGGCACCTTCCTCTTGGGTTGCTACTCCCACTGGTAAGCATGAGAACCAGCACTAGGGTAGGTGTTGGCAGGACAGAGAGTGGCACCCACAGGCATGTGTATGGGCTGGATAGTGGGACTGGTTGGGTTGAACTAGGCTTCAAGGCCCACTGACATATACGAGAGCTGAATGGGATGTTGGACAGACTGGACCAGTCTGCTGTACATACTGGCAAGCACAGGAATGAGGGCAGGGGGTGGCTCTGGTGGGGGTTATTGCAGGTCACTCAGACTAGGCTACAAATCCCACTGGTTTGTGTGAGCCAAAATCAGACTGGACTGCAACACCCATTAGAATGTGTAGAAGACAGGGCTGGAGATAACTGGCCCAGCAATGGCAACTAATACTGTACACGAAGACCGATTTGGACGACAGACTGTGCCAGACCCTGTATTGGATAACACACACAAGAATCAGGTCCGGGATCACCTCAGATGAAGTTTCTTTGGGAGTCTCCCCAGCTGAACCACTGGACTCAGAACTCCAACCATGGAGAAAATTGCAGGTTCCGTCGTCTGACTGTGGAGTGCATGTGTCAGAGCTGGGCCTCCTCAGTGGCTCAGACCGAGCAGTGGACAGCATATCCAGAAGCACATGGAAGACATGGCAATCCATTGGTACTTGCAGACAACACCTGGTACCAGAACAGAGAATGGAGAACAGAACAAATCAATCAACTACCCCAGTCAAATATTGGCAGTGAAAATCTGGGCAAGCAGAGACACTAAAGTGGACTATGTCAACCAGTGGATTCTGGAGAGATTTCATTATGACTGGAGTGGCGGGATCAGCAGCAATTCAGGACAGTCGAACTATGAAACCACTTGAGCAGAACCTTTGGAGCATGCCACACACTGGGGACCCGGGGATGGTTGGGAGGCTGGGTGTGGCTTCTCTCCTTATCTCTCCCCTTCTCCCCAGATACAGGAAGGAAAGAAGAGAATGTGGAAACAATGGTCTTACTCACTTTCCTCTAGTCCTTGACTCTTCACACCCTAATCAAATATGTAAAAATTATCAAAAATAAAATTTATACAAAAAAAAAGCAAAGAAAAAGATCAGGCTGACCAAGGTTCAGATTCCAGCTCTGCCATCTTTTGGGCCAGTGGACCTTCAGCGTATGGCCCTGGGAGCTCCAGCTGCCTCATCTGGAAATGGAATTCATCACATCTGCCCTGTAAAACCAGAAGACAACATTACAGGATGTAATACCACTTGGATTTTAATCAATGGCAATTGTCTGTATTCACTACAATGGGACTGATGACAGAGTAGTTGGCTCATTAATAGTTTAGGAGGGCCCAGCGTGATAGCATAACAGTTAATATCCTCACCTTGAACGCGCCGGGATCCCATATGGGCGCCGGTTCTAATCCCAGAAGCTCCACTTCCCATCCAGCTCCCTGCCTGTGGCCTGGGAAAGTAGTCAAGGATGGCCCAAAGCCTTGGGACCCAGCACTCACGTGGGAGACCTGGAAGAGGCTCCTGGCTTCAGACTGGTTCCACTCCAACCATTGTGGCTACTCGGAGTGAACCATCGGACGGAAGATCTTCCTCTCTGTCTCTCCTCCTCTCTGTACATCTATCTGCCTTTCCAATAAATAAATCTTTAAAAAAAATAGTTCAGGAGGAACAGAACATATTTTTAAAAGCTTGCTCATTTCATAGTGTCTTTGCAAAGAGTCTGGTTCTCTGGGGACAAATTCCCTTTCATTGTTACTAGCAACTTTTCAAGGACCTAAAGGTATCTTCCAGTGACCTCTGCCCTGGGAGAGATGGGTTGGTGACAGTGGCACACAGGCCTTGCTGTGACATACCTTTCATCTTCGTGTTCTCAGTGGGGCTCTCAGCTACGCATGCTCTGGTCCTGGCCCAGCTCACCTGCTCAGGAGCTCAGCGGGGCATGCATGCCTTCATCGTGCCTCTCCGGAGCCTCCAGGACCACACTCCACTGCCAGGTAAACTCATGTTACTCCTTGAGGATTCCTGCCAGGCAGAGATCCCAATAGGCACCCAGCAGTTCATAGGAGAAGCTGGGAACATGTCCCACAGGCCAGGTAGGGTCCAATTGGACAGACCTAGTGCTGACAGGGTGAGCTTAAACAAAGTCAGCATCTGTCTGACCTCAGCTTGCTCACCTACAAACCTGATGTGCTTAAGCCCAGTGCCACAGGCTGCTGTGGGCTTGGAATGTGTATGCAGTGCCTCACTCGGTGCAAACACTCAGCTGATGGACATTCTCATCTCTGTCTCCTTCTAGGCATTACCACTGGGGACATTGGACCCAAGATGGGCTTTCAACAAATGGACAATGGTTTCCTGAAAATGGATCATGTTCGAATCCCCAGGGAAAACATGTTGAGTCGCTTTGCACAGGTAAAAGTCCTGGGGAGGCAGCTGCTGCTGACTCTGGAATCTCCTGGGTAGGGCTGAGCTGGGCCACACACAGGAATCAAACCATAGGTGAAGTGCAATGTGTGACTGGGTGAGTCACTTCGCCTTTCTGAGCTTCAGGCCTCTCTGGCATAAATGCTTATCACATGGGGAGTCGGGGTAATTGTGGGATTAGAGGCAAGGTCATCCCAGAAGAGGTATGGGGCCAAGAGTAATAGGATATCACTCATTCATGGCGAGGCCTCGCCAGGGCCCAGTGCTAAACAGACACCAGCCAGCCAGAATGTTGACTGAAGACTTAGAGGTCCCCATTTTGCCAGGTGTTAGCCTTTTAGGTGTGGGTTGTGAGGAAGTTCGAGTGTACCAGGACACATGGGGAAGTGCCAGTAAACACAGAAGGGTTCTGGTGGTTACGTTTCACGATCCATTGGCCAGACCCATCACCCAAGTGACTGCCGCTGTCTGCTATTCAAAGGCAAGGTGAGGAGTATACTGATCCCTGCAGGGTGTGGAGACAGTTCAGGAAGTGGGACAATCTGTGTCTGGTTCAAACTTAACACCTATCCTTGTTCAACACAGGTCTTGCCAGATGGTACCTACATCAAGCGTGGGGCAGCACAGAGCAATTATCTTGGCATGGTGGTGACACGGGTGAAGCTGCTGTTGGCCTCGATCCTACCCCCACTGCAGAAGGCTTGTGTCATCGCCATGCGTTACTCAGTCATACGCCGCCAAGGCCAGCTCCGGCCCAGGCAAGGGATACCCAGGGGCTGACCCAAGCAGACTTCGCTGCTTCCTGCTCCCTGACACCCCGCCCACCCAGCTGTGCCAGAGCTGGGTGCTGATCCATCCGGCTGTTGATGGGATATTTTAGGTTTCTTTTAACCCTGGCTGAGCTACCATCCGAGGAAGGCTGTATAATTGAATTGTGGTACTGAGAACAGGCTGACATTCCATCCTGACAGGTCTCATCCCAGCCCTGCTGACTAGTCTTGGACAAATCATCTGCCCTTGCTGGGCCCCAGTTTTCTCACCTATTTCCCATAGGTGTGAACTTGAGAACATCAAATCTTGAAGGGCTGGGAAGTATTTCATGCCCTTGAGTAGCAAGATGCAAAAGTCTCATACAAGATGGGCCAAGGGCTAGATGGAGAGCAGACCTAGGTGCCAGTCAGTGAAGCTTCTCCATCCACAAAACAAATTTAGCAACCAGAGTGAACTATCAGGGCAGTACTGAAGGATGAGATTCCAGTAGCCCCACATCTGTTTTTGCAATACATTCTGAAGAACTGTTGGTGCCTAATGCTTTACGACACTGAGACTTGGGCAGGTGGGCGTGATAGGTAACTGCCTCCTAAGTCCTCTGATTCTTTGTTCCTCAGTGATCCAGAGGTCAAAATCCTAGACTACCAGACACAGCAGCAGAAACTTTTTCCTCAGCTGGCCATGTGTTATGCCTTCCACTTCCAGGCCACTAGCCTCTTGGAATTCTTCGAAAACTCCTATAAGGCCATTCTGAACCTAGACTTCACCCTCCTGCCTGAGGTACCTACCATCTGCTGGTGGGTGGGTGAGTGAGAAGAAGGGGGTTAAGATTGTTCTACCTACTGGGAAGCATCACCATCCAGCATGCCTGCCAACATCCCAGGGTATCTGGGGAGAGTGTACCCTGCTCTGTAGGTTCAGAGAGCTCCAAAACTGTTAGTGTAAATAATTATACAATGTATAGTGAACATAGGGCAACAATTCCTGATTATGCATTTGAAACCCAAAAAGCTCAGAAAGGTATGTCTCTTGAAATTCATCTGGTGGTGTAGTTTGGCCTGAGCTAACCTAATTGACCCTGTTGAGCATGCACATAGTTTGCATTTTGTATTTTCAACCACAAAAGTTGTCTATAATGCCACTTGGAGTGTTACATATAATATACCTTAAATGCTCTGTTCTGCCTTTCTTAAAAAACAAAAATCCTTACTCCAAAACACATCTGGGCCAAGGGTCTCAGAGAAAGCACTGTAGACCTAACTGATGCCAAGATTCCATCTCTCCAGATGTGGTACTAAATAAGCATTGTTTTGTTAATCCTTCCAGGGTACCTTTTCAGCCCCATTTGAGAGATGAGGAAGTTGAAGCATAGGAAGATAAAGGGACCTGCCTTCCTCACAAGAACTTGAAAGTTCCAAAGATGAGGAGGGGCTTTCTATAACCAAAGACTGAATTCAGGCCAGCTGCCCAGCAGCTCCTCTGTCCTGCTTTCAGGATACTGTGAAAAACAAACGCCATCACCTTGGTAGTTTATCAACACCAGGAAGTTATTTCTCATAGTAATGCATGGTGGGAAGTCTAGGACCAAGGGGATGGCAGGTTTGGCATTTAGCTGCTTCCTGGGTCATGGACAGCTACGCGCTATGTCTTCATGTGGGGCAAGGGTTCCCTCAGGCTTCATTGAAAGGGCACTGATCCCACTCACAAGAGCTCCATCCTTACGACCTAACTACTGCCCAAAGACCCCACCTCCTAATGCCATATCCTTGAAGGCAAGGATTCCAACATACACATATAAAAGCGGACATGCTCAGAACATAGCACCATCCCACACTTCCAGCTGTGGCTTGGTAGTAGACACAGGCCACCTTTCTCAATCTTCTTCCTGACAGCAAACTGCCAGAGGATGGTGGCCACAAGACAGGCAGTATTCTCTCACCAAGATTCCAGAGACACGGGTCAGTGTCAGGTTGTCCTCGGCCCAATTTGCCTCCAGAGTGGCATTCCCACTCATGTGACTTTTGGATGCATTTCCACATCCATAAAGTTGTGAGTTGCGAAAGCATCCTACTTCGCAGGTGTGTGCAGCATGTAGTGAAAGCTCAGTAAGAGGTAAGCATTGTTGTTACCCCTGGGCCCCTAAGCCTCCTGACCACCTTCTTCTTCCTGCAGCTTCACGTGCTAAGCACAGGGTCAAAGGCCATGATATCAGACTTCTGTGTCCAGGGAACTGAGTTGTGCCGCAGGGCCTGCGGTGGGCATGGCTACTCCCAGCTCAGTGGCCTGCCCATCCTGGTCACCAGTGTGACGCCCGCCTGTACCTATGAGGGCGAGAACACAGTGCTCTACTTACAGGTAGCCAGGTAAGGTCCAGACTGGGCAGGGGCTCTGTCCAATCCCTGGAGACCACTGAGCTTCTGCCTGGGTTGAGGGTTCTGTGTGGTGTCCACAAAGGCAGCGGGAGTTGGGAAGTACTGCCTGGGATTGTCCGAATCCTACCGAGATCTCTAACTCAGCTCTCTACTTCTCCACCTGACCGTCCTGTGGCCAACAAGCTCCTTACACCTTGGAGCCTGTCTCCCTGTCAGTGCTGCTCTAACAACTTCCTGCCAACTACATCTACGCATCTCCCTTTTCTCACCAGAGGGTCTTTGCTCTTGCTGCCCTCTCAGCCAACACTGCCTGATTCCTTTGGAGCAATGATTGTGATCTAGCACTGTCTTCTCTTTTTCATTACCTTCTTATCCCTACTTCCCAATTCGAATAGGTGCTTGAGGGCAGGGATTACACCTGCCTTGGCCCATGCAGGATGCCTGGGACTTAGTAATGAGTATGTACAACAACAGGCTCCCCTGTGAGGAGCAGGAAAAAAATGGACAAGTCGGCCTTTTCCCAACAGGCAGCTTTTTCACCTCTCTCGTGTGCTGGGACCCTGAAGTTGCTAAAGCCCCTTATGCTCACCTTTTCTTAGGTGACTCCTCCCAGGGGGAAGGGAAAATGTACTGGCAAACACAACAGATAACACATACTGGGGCTTTAAAGACATATAATATTGACTATTTTTCCAATTATTAAAGGAATATCATTGCATGAGCCAAGCACTTTCCAAATATTCTATCCCTCAATTCCTCCTCATCACCACACCCTTCTCCCCGCTCCTCCCATGCACATTTCAGGTGAATGGAGAAGCTGAGGTAGCATCACATGGGTCTTGTGGAGCTGCTCAGGAATCCAGGGTTGTCTGTACCCAGGACTTGGAGTCACTGGGCTCCGCCTTGCCTTTGTGTTAACATTCTTGCATCTCTCTTTCCTTCAGCTAAGAAAATTTAATTTCCGCATAGTCACTGTGCAAGTCAGAGCAAATCTCCAAATCGGGAGAGAAATCCTGACAGAGGGTTTTGTTTGTTCAGACCTTACAGGGTGTATGTTCAAGGTCTGAGAGTATTGGCCTAGCTCCCTAGCCAGCTGCAGCACATCTTGCTAGAGGCCCTGCCCCAAGGCAGGAGGGCCTGGGGGCTCTGCAGGGAGATGGCAATTACCAGGAAGAAGGCTCTCCCAGGGGCTGGGGAGTCAGGAGGGCTCTGGGAGTAAGCTGAGTCTGCCCTCTTACCTGTCTCTATCCCACCCCTAGGTTTCTGGTGAAGAGCTACCTGCAGGCTCAGGGGCTCTCAGGCTCCAGGTCGCAGCGTCCATTACCCCAGTGTGTCTCATATCTCACACTGCCTGACCTGGCCAGGTGCCCAGCACAGAAGGCAGCTGACTTCCTCCGCCCGGAGCTCTACACAGCAGCCTGGGCACATGTGGCAGCCAGGTAAGCCATGTGGAGCCGAGAAGTCAGCTGTGCCCCTGGAGGCAGGCCCTGCCCATTCTGGGGCCACCTCTAGGAATTGGTTGTGGACGCAGCAGGGGGTGGAGGGGTGCTGAGGGTGGGTGGGGAGTGGGCATTTGTGGAGACCCTTCTAAAAACCACCCCAGCCACTGTGCCCACCATCCTAGCTCCTGCTACCAGGGGCAGACGGAAGGTAAAGAGATCCCCATCATTTCCCCATCTGGACATGACCTCCCTGGCCCTGAGGGGAATTGTGTAAATTCTTAGATTCTTACAGTGATTGGCAATATATCAGAATGCAAATATGACTAAAAATCAAGATTCAGATGTTGAAATATCCCATAATCTAAAAATCATTTAAAAAATACCACCATACAGAAGGATGGATAGAATTGGCTTATTCCTAGGGTCTAGTAGACTTCATGGAAACAGACAAGACCAAGGACTCCTCCATTCTGCCATTTAGCAAGTAACATCTACTTTGTATTGGAAATGACCGGATATGCTGAGGGCTGGGAATAAGGGGAAGTCCTAGCCAATCATAAACATCATCCTGCAAGACAGGCAGACTAAACTACCTCAAAAGAAAACCTTTTCAACTCTGCAAACACCAGAAACTGCCTCAGAAAAAAAAAATCGTTCCTGTGTATCAAAGGTCCTGTATCCTAGCCTGTAGAAGACCTGGGATGGTGAATGTGACTTCCAGATCACAAGCAACTTAGGACACCCATTGATTTGTTCCACAAACCTTTAAGTGCCGGTGCTACACCAGGCACTGTTCTAGGTACCAGGAATCTATCAACTAGCCGTCTGCTAAAAGCTTAGGGCCCGCAGAGCTGTCACACTAGCTGAGAGTTGGAAAGTGGAAAATAAGGCTGTCAGGAAAATTAAAGCACCATTAGGTTTCTCTTTGCTTGGAACTCCATGTGACATTTGCTTTTGTACACCCTAAAAAACATAAATGTTGCTTAATAAGGAGTGTATAATGTACAAATTCCAAGGGTCATGGATGGGCAAACAGGGAACAACAACAAAATGGTGACTAAAGGTTAGTCAAATGGCACATGATATTGGGGACAAGGGTTGGTTTTCTGGTTTTAGATCCCTTGGTAGATCTTGGAACAGGCAGGTTGCCAGCCATTAAAAAAAAAAATCATTTTGCTGGCAAGGTCCACGGGCAGCCAGGCCAGAGAGAGGCCTGAGAATACTGGCATCAGGATACAATGGGAGTTAAAAAGGGAGGGCAGCTCCTGCAGTGGCTGCTGCACAACAGCATAATGAAGAAAAAATTCAAGTCCTGGCTGTGCAATCCTGGCCAAGTCAGATCACCTCCCTGGGACTGGTTTTTCGCCACTGCTGATTGGGAATGTGTGGCTTGAGAAAGAGCTCAGGAGGAGTGTCTCTTGAGCACTGCACTCTATTCTCACATCTAAAGGACCAGCAGGTAGGAACTACTGTGCCTTTGAGGGAGCCCAGGCAGCCCATCGGTTCTCCTGGCTATGATTGGGTCAGAGAGCTGAATAGTCTTTTTCTGGCTTTCAGGCTCATAAAGGATTCAGTGTACCACTTACAGGCCCTGACGCGATCTGGGGCTGACGAACATGAGGCCTGGAACCAGACAACTGTCATACACGTCCAAGCAGCTAAGGTGAGCTTGGGCTCAAAGGGCGCCCCCGCTGGGATAGTCCCAGCTTTGCCCCTGTTCCCAAGCCCTGTGTGGTGCCCTCATTTTACTTCCAAGGCTCCAGTCCAGGGCATTTTAATTAAAGGACTTAACTCCAAAACAATCTTGCTGGTAGCTCTTAGGAGAAAAGGTAATGAGGCAGCGTTATTGGATTTGCTTCAGGTTGTTCAAATATTTTCTCCCAGATTGAAAAGCAGGTCAAGTCTCCCCTTAGTCCCTCAGGCAATCCTTGGATGTCTGATTCAATTTCCACCATGTTTTGTGTTGTGTATAAGTCATAGTTGGTTGGAAGATATTTAAGCATCCACTGTGTACCAGGCACTAGGCAAGGTATTACAACAGTGAAGCCACTGCCCACATGTAGGTACAATCAAGGAAGCACTGCGAGAGGGAAACACAGACTACTATGGGAGCCCAGGAGAGATGCATCTCTGCTCACCTGGAGGAATGAGAAGAGGCCTAGAGGCCCCAACTTCAGGGATGAACTAAGATTAACCAGCTAAATGCTATGGTGACAGCTTTGCAAAGGGAAGTTTTCAACCGAACATAGCTGATACAAAGAAGGAGGCAAGAAATGGCTAGCACTAGGGAAGAAATGCCCATCACCCTGGGCTTTAACCCAGGGTGCCCATCACCCAGGCTTTAACTCTCTATCAGATGAAGGGATCTGGAAGAGCCCTTGGAGATCTGACCCTGTAGTGTCAGATTCTGCCCAGGAGAGACATCAGAGTGCAGGAACCCTGGAGCAAAGGCTGCATTCTTCAGAAGCCAGCCTGTCTGTAGCAGCTCTGGCATCCCAGGGGAATCACGGCTCCCACTTACTGGCCATGTGACCTTGGGCAAGGAACTTCGCCTCTCTCATGGATGGCGGAGTGGAGTTGTCAAGGCCTGCCTGGGAAGGGTAGATTCTCCCCAAACGAGAACCAAAATCAGGTCACTATCCTACCAAAGACTGACAGTCATCCCTAGAACTCGTGGAATAAAATCCCCACTGTATCAATTCTAGCCCTTCATCACCAGGTGTGGGTTCTCCCACCCACTATACAGTTCCCCTCATCACCTTGTTGTACCCCCATACTCCAGCCTGCTCCAAGTATAGCCCTTTGCCCAGAAGGTCCCTTGGCCTGCAACAGCCTTTCCTCCTCCCTGTTCCCCTGGATGCATTCCTTAAATCCCCAAGACACAGTAATTCTGGCTACTTAAAGTCCCTCCTAGCAGTATGGGAGCTACTGCTAGGTTATACATCCATGTGCTCAGGCCCCACCCCAACATCTGCTTTTGGACAAGATTTCTATGTGGTCTGTTGACACTGGTTTATATTCTCCTGCCCACACTCTTTATGGAACTCCCCAAGAAGTACTGTTTTAGGTGGTACTGGTGAACTCCAGGTTTCAAGAGATAATACTCAAAATGATGGGCATGGACCATTCAAAAAGGGTTTCAAGCCTAGAGAAAGCATAGTTGAAATCCTGCTGTGGAACCGGCATTTGTTCTGTGGTTGCCAGGCTATGGAGGGAAGGAGGGACCCAAGGAAGGAGCCTATCTGACACAGGAACTCCCATCAGGCTGATGGTGGAAGTCACTTAACCAACACATGGTTGAGCACTGTTGAAACAACTGACTGTACTAGACATCTGCCTATGGGCTAAATAACAATACTGCTTACCTTAAGAGATTAAACTGCAGCAGGGATAAATTTCATATACATCTTAAGTCCCCACTTTCTTTTTTTAAAATTTATTTTATTTTTGATAATGTTTACATAGTGGATTAGGAAGGGAAGGGTCCAGGATCAAGGTAAAATTGGTGAGACCTTTGTTTCCACATTTTCTTTTCCTTCTTTGTCTGGGAGAAGGAGAGACAAGACCTGGCCTCCCAACAGCCTCAGCACCCGGGGATGGGGAACAGCCACCTGATGTCATTACAAGAACCCCCACTTTGTCACCCCTGTGAGCACACCCTTGCCCGCACCTTGAACAGAACAGACAATACATGGTTAGTCTCTTAATAAAGGAATCTGTCCCCCATTTTCCCCAAGCCAGCCTCCAGTGATCCTGTATGTTCCTCTCCACCTTCAAACCTACTTGAGAAAAAAATGAGAAAAACCAAGGGCCAAATTTCAAAGCCTGCCAGCCCCCGCCAACATGCACACATACACGTTCAGTCATATACACCATCACAACAACAGCTATGCCAGAACTGGAGGGAGCTAGGAGAGGAGTTGGCTGCTGTCAGTGTGCTGGGAAACACACGGCTGCAGCAAGTCTATTCCCAGCAGTCCTGCCAAAGCTTCCAGAGTGGCTCCTGGAGCTGGAAACCAGAACTCTGTGGTTAACGCCTCTGTGTATCTTTGCAGGCACACTGCTACTATATCTCTGTAAAGAGTTTCAAGGAGGCTGTGGAGAAGCTAAGGAATGAGCCAACCCTTCAGCAGGTGCTCAAACGCCTCTGTGACCTCCATGCCCTGCATGGCATCCTGAATAACACAGGAGACTTTCTCTATGATGGTTTCCTGTCCGGGGCCCAGGCAGAAATGGCGAGAACAGCCTACCTGGACCTGTTCCCTCTGATCCGGTGAGTAACTAGACCTTCACTCCATTGTAGCTTCCAGAAACCCCCGTCACAGGTCACTTCAGTCTCTAAAACCTTGCTAACAAGAGGGATGGCAAAAGCAACAATAGCCCTGCAGAAATTTATACCCCAGTATCATCATGCCAACACAAAGCATGATGGATTTAACACAAGAATAAAATGGGAAAAAATTGGACATAAAAATGCTCAAGAATAAATTAGCTTCTTCAACTCTACAACACTGTCAAGGCAACAGGGGCATGCTCACTTCCTAAGGCATAGGACTACAATGCCTCCTGCTGTGTAAGAATATTGTGCATTAATCATATTAGCTTTAATCATAGCCCACATGGAAGGGGCACTTAGGTGCTAGCCAGGCACTGTGCCAGGAGCTTGACACATATCATCTTGTATAGTACTGACGGCTCTTTGAAATGGGTACTGTGAAGCTCCCTACTTTACTGGGAGAAAGAGACAGATACCTTCTTAGGCCTGTGTGACATCCAAACTTGTAGTCTTAACCTGTTCATTAAGGTCACAGTGGGAAGGAAGTATTGCTTTTATTTCAAATCTCTCTCTCTCTCTTTCTCTCTCTTTCTCCCTATATATATATATGCCTGACTTGATGTCTGTATTTAAGCAAGTTCTTAGCAAGAAGTTTAGTGAACTTATTTTAATCCTTCCTCAGCATCATTATTAGATTCAAGCAAGAATTCACATATGGATTTGTACAATTATGCAAATCATAGTTAAATGTAACATAATGGATAATTTAAGCTCATGGAATACAAACACAATGCTTTCATCTTATTATCATATATACATCTAAATGATTACCTAAAAAGCAAATCGAAGTCCAACCTGCTCAAACAATAGGAAGAAACAAAAAATGATGCCTGTTATATTGGGGGAAAGTGACTTTTCTAGTACCTCCAAGAATCCTCATTGTCAATAAGACTTAAGAGAATAAAAATAAACATTTAAAAGATAAGACTTCCTGGTTAGGTTAAAAACAACTACACCAAATTCTTACTTGTTAGAAATTTACTATGTTATGTGCCATTTATGACTTCACATAGGTTCTTAACAGCTGGTGACCAGAACATGTTCTTTTCAATTAAATGACCAAAAAAATTGCTCAAAGCACATTTGATACAATCATTCCCCAGGCATTAGTCTTTTCCTAAATAGAGAAACTGTCCTGGCTTCCAGTGATTGAAATTATTAAAAGCATAACTATGATACCGCTCAGCCCCACGTATGTTAAACTTTCTCAAAGGCTCAGCATTTGAAAGCACATGGCAAAAAAGAAAAAGTCTAGTCCTGGCTGGTAGCGATGATAAAATACAAAAGATCACCTTATCATGCCACAAGTATTTCTTTTTTTAATCTGCAAACAGCATTTGTGAGTGCCCGCTGCGGCTCCAGGGACTCAGAATGTGAGACAGGACAGACAGCAATGACGCAAGTCGCCAGCTTCCACAAACATCACATCCACAAATTGATTTACTTACATTAGGGTTCCTAAGTAACCTCGTCACGGCAGGGTAATGAAGTATGTAACAGATTCCATGCTTTTAAAGGTTCTGTGTCATAGTTTCCTGCCTTGATTAGTCATGTCTACCCTCAGATTTCTGTGATGACACATGAAGGACAGCTCACTATTCCAAGTGACACCAAGAACCAGCTCTCTATGCAATGCTCATTAACAGACCCAAACAGTTTTAAAAGATCCTAAGATGCCAGTTGCGGAACAGGTGATGATTCAACCATTCAGTTTTCTTCCTTTCTGAAGCCCTACCAAAACATCAGCAGATACATTACAATTTTTGAAGAAGCCAAAACCAACAAACAAGAGAGGGAAGATGAAAGTGGGAGGCTACGTGGCCACATAGTGAGTCTCTCAGCAGACAAGCAACAGTAAAGAACCCCAAGGAACTAGCAGCACTGAGTAGTTCTCTCTGGAAATGGGGGTGACAGTGAGACAGTATGGGTTGAAGCTTCATTTACATTTTGTTTGGACAGGATTAAGACTTTCTTATGGGTAGAAGCATAAACAGGCATAGCTGAAGATGGGGCTGTCCTACAGAAAACACCTCCTTTCCTTCACCCTCTTTTCCCACTGCTTCTTACAAAATAGGCAGCCAAGGCAGGTTCTGTAGGAAATGATGTTCACCCTTCTTTGGAGTACCTGACCAGTCCGACAAACAGCAGTTGGAGACACTGATGGCAGAGTCCATTGGAAGCCTATCAACTAACTCCACAGTGAGCCCAGTGAGCCCTGTCTCCCCTTAAAGTCGGTCAGTGTCCTGCTCTTAGCTATGGGCAGGCCATTAAAGGACCTGTAGACACCTGAGCAGAGTCCTTAACACTGGGGCTGGAAACTAAAGCAAGCAAAGCAAAGCAACTTAGAGACACAGAAAAAATCTGCAGGGAGAAGAAAGATTTTAAAAAGAAATGAAGTTAAGAGAGGTTATCAAAACCACAAAAAGCAAGTATCATTAAAGAATAATATTCCTAAAATTTAAAAGAACACGCTAAAGCACTTTTGAAATTAAAATGTGAGAATGGAAATGAAAAAAAAAATTTAAGAACTGGGGGATAAAGCTGTAGGGAACTCTCACAAGAAAGAAAGCAGAAAGATGAAAAACAAAACAAAATAAATAAATCAAAATGAATAGCTTTAGGGAGTAAAAGGACCAGTAGTAGCTGCTCATCATCTAAAAAAACAAGTTTAGAAAAAGAATAGAGGAAACAGAAGGGAGAAAAACATTAATAAAGTAATTCAAGAAAAGAATTCTTCAAATGAATGACAGACTTTCAGATCAGAAAGGGCCACAGAAACCTAGACAGCAGACACACGTACATACATGTCACACACAGTCACTCAAGGATATAGAAAAAGGACTATTCCTTAGGGCGAGGAAGAAAGGAGCAGCAGAGAAAGAGGTGAGGATTGCTGGGAAATGTGTGGGTAGGGACTGAAGGAACTGTTTTAAATAGGTCAGGGAAGTCTTGCAAATGCTATCTGAAGAAAGGCCTGGGGTGAGGGTGGAGGGATAGCTGTGTGGCCTCCGGGAAGGGTATTCCAAGAAGGCCTGAAGTCTTAGTGTTGGAGTCAGAGTGTGCTTGGCACTTCCACCAGAAGAACAGAGCGACGGCCCCAGAGGTGGGAAGAGTGTGACTGAGCTGGACAAGGAAAGCAACATCAGAGAGTTAACACCAAACTGGGAGAGGATACACATCATTGCAAAAGATACAGGCTTCTGTGAGAGGAAAGGAGAGACTTACAGTGGACTAGACACAGTCTGAAGTCAATAGGTGCCTTTCTTTAAAGGATCATTCCAGCTGCCCAGTTAAGAATAAAAGGGTTGCAAAGCAGGGAAATCCATGGAAAGAAGCCAGCAGACTGGACCAGGGAAGCAGTGATGGAGGTGGGAAGAAGCAAAATTCAGATATGGCTGTTTTAAAAGCGGAACAGAATTTGCCTGCAGATTAGATGCTGGGCAGGACAGAATGAGAGGAAACAAGGTTTTCAACCAGAAAGGGAATTTCAAATGAGAAAGACAGGAGGGTCAGGCTGTGCATAATGGATGTCTACAAGACACACCATGTTTGAGGAGTCTAATCCAAGTTAGTAGCTCCTGGATTTGGCCTAAGCCAATGCGGGAAGACAGGGAGTAAACCAGCAGACGGCAGCTGTGTTTTTCTGCCTCACAAATAAATAGAAATTTAAAAAGACAAAAGAGATGACAATACTTTTTTTCCTATGGTTATTTTGCAGTTGCTTAAAAGGCACAGCAACAGAGTGACAGAGCAAGAGTAAGAATCTGAGTGACAGTGAGAGAAAGAAAGAGACCTTTCACTCACTGGCTGAATCCCCCAAGTGCCTGCAAACATGGCTGCCAGGTTGAAGCTGGGAGCCCACAACTGCACCCAGGTCTCCCAGGTCAGTGGGTGATCTCCCGTGTGTGTGAGCCATGACCGGCTGCCTCCTGGGTCCTGGATTGCATTAGCAGGAAGCCAGATATGAAGTAGAGGAGCTAAGATGATTAACTGGTAATTAGATGTGGAATGTGCCATAGTGCTCACCCCAAAAGCATGTTTCTATACTGATGGGAATAACCCAGCAGAGAGGGGAGTTTGGGTGTGGTAGGGGAAAGGGAGCAGCTTTACTAGAACATTGTTCTCCAGCAGGCAAATACAAAAGGCAAAGCAAGAGAGGTTGACTGGACTGAAAGGGAATAATTGAGCAGAGTTAAGAAGGGAGGAGGCACTGTCTTCCTACCAGACTGGGAATTTGTGAATACTGTTTCCATTTTATCAGAAAAATTGGACACATAGTAATCCATGAAAGAGACATGGGAAAGAGGGGCTGTGCATATTCCATAACTGAAGAGAACTCTGAAAAAGTAAGCTCAAAAAATTAGAGCAATGTAATGACTGCAAAGAAGTGAGCAGGACCTGCTACAACCCTCAGCACACCAGTCAGGCTTGGTTTTTCTAACCTACACAGCTACAAACTTGTGGCATGAAATCAGTAGAATAACAAGGACTGGGTTTTGCAAAACTAGGATGACGAGGCAAGAAACACTTTTGAGGGGTGCATATAATGAGCCTTGAAATTGCAGCAGGATACGAGCAGCAATGTGAGGTCACAAGATTAGAGTCAGCACATAGGTGGGAAAGCTAAAGATGGCAATGAAGGGTTGTCAGAAAATGGGCAAACTGGGTACAGCGCCCTAGTCACCTTGGACACTGTGACGATACACACAGTCACTGCATTATCACTGATTAGTGATTTGAACAAAATGAAAACTGCACTAAGAGACCAGAAGGCCAAGCAGAGAGTGTGTGGGGACAGGGAGAGTTGGGCCAAAAACAAATCGTGCTCCCCTGTAATACTTACTCACCAGGTGATCTCTAAAACTAAACCCTCAAGAAGTAACGACATCAAGAAGATATCCAGAGATGTTTAGGCAAATGCCAGCTAAGGGACTGCAACTGACTGCCTCTGGAGAAAAGGAAATGGAGAGGAGACAGTGATATGTTAACAGGTCTCAAGGAACTCTCATTATATTGAACACATATATAAAAGATTATAGAACAAAACAAAAACCTGAATTCATCACAAAATGAGTAACGATTCAATCCTAACCCAGATTAAGTGTTAGCCACTAACCCGACCTAACAAGATTCAAAAGAACATTCTGAAATACTTACAAACCCTCATTTCCTCCCTTAGGAAGGATGCCATCCTGTTAACTGATGCTTTTGACTTCAAGGACCACTGTTTAAACTCAGCGCTTGGCTGCTATGATGGAAATGTGTACGAACGTCTGTTCGAGTGGGCACAGAGGACACCTATCAATAACCAGGTAGTGGAGTGGAACGTGTTATGAATTATGTAAGAGTAGAGAACACACAGTGAGCAAACCTCTGTATTTTCCCATTTCAATTGACTCCCATTAGGTTGGAAATCACTTAGTATAGCACGTCTGTCCAAGATATTTTTAGAGAATATATAAACCAGGAGTGGATGTGGCTGGCAGGAACCCTAACGCAGCACTGTAATTAACAAAATACATGGCTCAGAATTTGGTAAAATGAATTGAAAGGCCCAAACTCTAAATTGTAGCTTGATGTAACAAAGGCACATACATATAATGGTAAAATGGCTTTGAAGTGAAAAAAAATAAGAACATTGCAAGGATTCGACATCTTTCCAGCCCTTGAAATCTCAATGCTGTGCAAATTAAGGTTGGTATTCAGGGGTGACAGGAAACTGGTATGGTGGGGGAGCCGACTCTCTCACACCTTCCTGCTAGAGACACTCCCTTCCTCCCCTTCACTCTGAGGAGCACAGAAGGCTGTGGTGCTGCCACCAACAGCCCAGGAGGCCACACATGCGACAATGGCAAGAGTGACAGCCCCGGAGACCTCCTGGGACTCAACTTCTCTCCTCTGGAGGGCAAAGATTCACAAAATTCCAAAGCAGTGAGCCAGAGTCTCAGTTTCTACTAAGTTGCACTGAAAAAAGTTAGGAATGTTGGTGACTAACTGCAATGAAGAAATAAACTTGCATTTAGGGAACCAGTATTTAACAGCAGATTTGCCACAGATGATAAAAACAGAATCTAAGGGCACACAACAGATTTTTTTGTTTTTGTTTTTGTTTGTTTGTTAAAGTTTTCCAGTGCAAATACACGAATCAGATGGTGAAACTTCCTTTCTTACCTCTCTGGTCCAATTTCAGAAAAGGTGTCTCAACAGCTCATCAAATTGGCAACTCCCAGGCTTTTGTTCACACTTAGTGTGGTGTGAGACGGGCTCATTTTTTTTCTGCCTGGCTCTTAACCGTTTCCTTCGCATCCTGTCAGACTTCATAGCTTAATTTAACATAATTATCTAAAGTTAATAACACCACAATTATTCCCAAGATTATAGCTGATCTGCTTCTGGTCATTCCTTGTCCTCAAGAAGGCATCCATTTAACTCCGAGAGGAAATGCAGACATTTACACTTAATCTATTTCTAGTGTGCTACTTTTTCTGATTAGATCCCACCTCTCCAGGCTTAAATTCTGGGATCCAAATGCAGCAATCTCCTCTATAAGCCAGCTCACTTGGTCTAAAGATAAACACCTGTCCCAGGGGCTCTCCAGAAACACCTGCCCTGCTCTAACACCTGTCAGGAAATGCTGCCGCATAAAGCCCAATCCTGACTAACAGCCATTCCAGAAACATCCTAGTTCTCCCAGCTTAAGCTTCTCTAAAGAAAGTGAGGGCCCTTCTTGATTTATATATATTTTTAAAAATCCTTATTGTCAAAAGCTTACTCTAGGGTCTGACATGAGTAGTCTAAATGCTTGTACACACCAGGATCCCATATAGGCTCCCTGCTTTTGTGGTCTGGGAAAGCAGAGGATGGCCCAAAGCCTTGGGACTCTGCATCCATGTGGGAGCCCCAGAGAAAGCTCCTGGCTTCAGAATGGCTCAGCTCCGGCAATTGTGGCCACTTGGGAAGTGAACCAGTGAACAGATCTCTCTCTGTTTTCCCTTCTCTCTGTATATCTCTCTTTCCAATAAAAATAAACCTTAAATGTTTTGTTTTTTTAAAGCTCACTCTGGACATTACCTGAGAGCAGGCTTACTTGGGGGCACAGCTGACCTATAGTATCAGGAGTCTTTGTAAAACGCTGATGCACTTCACCTCAATCACTTTTCTCCATCTCCTTCCACTTCACTATGAACAAGAATAGTATTTACTTTTCTACCTCCAAAACCAATCATGAAGTAGACACACTGCATTTATGAGATAAAGGAACACAATTTTATGACCTACATGGTGAGACAGAGGAACCTGCTGCATATAAAATGCCACACTCTTGGTATCTTGGCTTATACTACCTTGCTAACAAAACAAAAAAACCAACAAACAAAAAAACAAAATTAAAAAGGTGGCAGGTGCAGCAATGTGATTCTCATGCACAGCAATTCAGAAATGTGAATTTACAAATGACCTAGGAGAACTGTTTCCAGTTAGTCAAAATGACTCAGTTGACTGCTAATATACAGCAGAAGGATAGTACAACACTTTGCTGGCTCCTTCAGAGACCACCAGAATAGCGCTTGTAAAATACAATTTTCTAATCTATTACAGATAATTTTAGGCTGCAAAGCTACATTTTCCCTCATTTGCTCAGGAGAAAAAGGCACAAGACAGGTAGTTCAAATAAATTAAAACAGCAGCTACACTGAAATGTGCCCTGTAGACACAAAACCACAATTGGAAATATATTTCACTGACATTTTTCAACCAAAAAAGAAGTGCTCTGCTAGCTTGTCTTAGAATTCTAAGAGAGTCTCTCTTCTGGGGTAGGCTTTGTTGTCCGGGCAGGGGTAGCATGCTCTTTCTTAATTTACTCTAGTCATCTCTACTCTTTCTTTCCTGATAAGATGCTATTTCAAACCAGTTTCAACCACAGTTAAACTTGCAAAGACTGTTCCTCTCCTAAGCAAGAAAGCAAGCAATCAGAGAAGCAATGGGGATCATGTCCCTTTCTCCACCCCCACCCGTTTTCTATGGTAAAAATTTAATTAAGCTGCAATTAATGTGTTAAACACATCTACTAATTCATTCACTCCATCCCTCAACAAGCTACGGAGCCGGAAGTGATTCAACGTCCTGAGGACATAGTGAAGGACAAAAGTTGCAGACTCTGTTCAAGGAGCAGTTTTATAGGGGATGAACATAAAAACAAAACAAAAACAAAAACAAAGAAAGTAAGATGAGGCTAGAGCCATGAGCAAAAAACAACCAACAATAACAACAACAAACAGTGACATAGAAATACTTGAGGTATAGATACTCTATTCTGATGGAGAATTTAGTTTACCTGAATCTCCTCTCTGGCTCCTTACTTTGTGGCTAATGCTCAACTTCAAAGAGCCTCAAAGAGTCAAGCCTTTTAATTGTATTAAATTCCAAAAGCAAGAGCCCGGTGTAAAAGCCTCATGGCTAAATCCTTGTCTTGCAACTACCAGGCTCCCATATGGATGCAGGTTCATGTCCTGGTTGCTTCCACTTCCCATCCAGCTCCCTGCTTATGACCTGGAAAGCAGCAAAGCATGGCCCAAATTCTTGGGTCCCTGTGCCCACATGGGAGACCCAGAGGAAGCTCCTGGCTTCAAAACGACTCAGCTCTTGACTGTTGCAGCCACTTGGGGAGTAAACCAGCAGATGGATGATCTTTCTCTCTGTATATCTCTCTCTCTAAATCTTCCTTTGGATAGAAATAAATAAATCTTTAAAAAATAATTCCAAAAGCAAATGTTAAGCTTAATTTTTTTTTTAAATTGGCCACCTGCAACCATAATTTAAAATCTGCATGAGAAAAGTTAAGATGTCCTTTGAAGAAAATGTTTCTCCATATGTTCACATAAAGTGAATCTCCAAAATAACTTTTGAAATTAATGATCCTATGTGATATTTCTTTTTTTGAAGGTAAGGACTAAATTTGAAAATAAAGGTCATTAATCTGGGCAGAAATATTCTGCATTAATAATACCTTTCTTTCTACAAACAGGAGAACCCTGCCTATAAGAAATATATACAACCGCTATTACAAAGCTGGAGAGCCAAACTATGAAACAAGCAGCAGCACTCAAGAAGCAAACAGCACTACTCTGTGATCATGGCATTGTGGCATATGCAGAAAACGTAAATTTTAAATTACAAATGAACTCTTTTGGTCATTATCTTTTAGATGCAACTTGAAATAGTATCTGTGAAATAGTATTTATGATTTATTTCGATCTGTAAGAGGAAAAACACGGAGTGGATAATCACTGAAGCTGATCAATGCATAAATAAGCGGGATGTAGGTGCTCGTGACACTGTTTTGTCTACTCTCCAAATATCAACCAATTAAATGCAGATCCCTAGGTATGCAAGTATGAATTTTTAAAAATGAACTCTCAATACTGGCACAATGGCATAATTGGCTAATCCTCTATCTGCAAGTGTTGGCATCCCCTATGGGCACCAGTTGCTCTACTTCCCATCTTATGGCATGTGAAAGCAGTGGAGGATGGCACAGAGCCTTGGGGCCCTGCACTCACTTGGGAGACCCGGAAGAAGGTCCTGGCTCCAGGCTTCATATTGGCTCAGCTCTGATGATTGAGGGCATTTGGGGAATGAATCAGCAGACAGAAGATCTTTTTCTGTCTGTCCTTTCCTTTGTAAAATCTGCCTTTTTCAATAAAATAAATCTTTAAAAAAAATTTAAGCTACGTTTTTCACATTATTTCAATTCATTCAGTTAGATAAACCACTCAAAACTGAATGCCAGCAGATAAATAGCAAATATATTGTTGCTGTCTACCTTTCCTAATATATAAATAAGCGTTCTATGGTTAATAGTTAATCTGAAAAGATTTATCAACAGTAATTTATCTCACTAGTAAACTGGGCAAGAAAAAAATCTTGAAAAGTTTTAACTTTAAACCTTTGGAACAATCAGCATTATTCCCATTTCTGCAGCAGGTTTTATGAACTTTGACCTCAATGTCACCTGACTCAGCTCAACAACAAATACTTGTAAAGTTGTTTTTGTTTTAGGTAAACCTTAATCCATTGGAAACAGGCACAATTTTCCAAATGATAACCTTGTACTATGGTACATCAATTTATCAAAGCCACAGAAATTTGCCAATAATATCAAGGGATCTTAGTTTGGGGACAACAGGGTTTCTTGTTGTGAGTCACTTGCAAACCTTAAATGATCAGGGACCTGGGGATAAACTGACAGAAGTGAGCACAGTCAGCTTCCGTTCAGGAAGGGGAAGGGAAGAAGCAGCATGGCTGCAGGCAGACACAACTTTGAGCTGCATTCTTCCCTTAGAGAGCAGGGAAGCCATTATTTTCAGAAAATATTCTGGCAAAGTAGAAAGTTCTCACTATAATTAACATAATCCTTCCTGTGAGTAACTTTCAAGAAACAGGATCAAATCACTTATGCGAAATACGACTTCAGTGAAACGAATAGAAGTACCTCCGTTTCCCCAACCGTTCCAGATCCTTCATTCAATGCAGTTTACTTCTCCTCCTTTGAAACAAACTTAGCAGTGGTGAGAAAATGCACTTGTCAGTGACCACAGCACAGGAGCAGAAAGTGGCGGAAGAATCATCTTGTCCTGTGCTTCCTGAGCACAAAGCTGAAATAATAATCGTATTGAGAGCATGACAATCGAAGAAAACGATCATCTTCAGAGAGCACCACTCTCAGAAACTTGTCAAACTGTGTATTTGGGGACACAAAGCCAACAACACATACTAGAGACAAGAGATGGTTTTCTCCCAAATGTAATAATAATCAAGAAATACAAACTTAGTTTTCATATTTCATTTTTTATTAGCTTTTTTTTTTTTTCTGGTAGACAGTCCACTTGGGAATTATACTGTACCAGGCATAAGAAGTAAGATTTCTACCACAGAGACATTTTGTATTCAGAATCCAATATAAATATTTCTAGTCAGACATTTCCATGGCTACAGATATTTGGTTGCTTGATTTATATGCATAGAAAGAAACAGTTGTCATAACTGTAAGAAGCAGTACTTTACAAGTACTTTTAAATGATTGGAACAGTTTTGCCTTAATATTACAATACTGCTTATCGGTTTGGAAAGTAGGTCATCCTACATGATGTTTCAATTTTTCTCAAAGGCATCACGACTATACAGCTTATTCTTTCATTCCTGTATTTTATAGCCTTCTAGTTAAGTTAAGGGCCACTTTATCAGAAATCATTTTAGCACTGTAATAATTATAAAAAAACAAAGCTCTGTTAAGGGTAGATTATATCCATAATTTTCAGATTTCTTTTTATAAAAAAGGTATCTGGAGACTCAACAGGCACATGCATACTCAGGGTGAAGGGACAAAATAGGAGGAGTCTGGTAAAACACAAAACATCCTTCTGGTCCTCAATACCTTCAAATAAATACAAATATTAAAAAAAAAAATCTCACACTGTGATTTAAAAAAAAAAGTCTCTGCCATTTCCTGGGGAACCAGTTTCCAGGAACTTCTCTCTGGGTTCCAGATCAGTCATCCGTCTTCCGGGCCAGCCTACAGAAAGTCCAGTTGTGCTCCACTGTGTTCTCATTGGCCCGCTCACTCATGTGGTGCACGCGCGTGTTGCGGATCGTGAAGCCTTGTTTTGTAATGTATTCCATCAGGTGGACCCGCAGAGACACTTCCTGGTGATAATCACAGGGCCCAAATGTAAAGGACACCTGGCAGTCTCGGGTGTCCATCATGTGCTTATTCCACTTGGTGAAATAATTGGAGATGCCTTCTAGTAAGGAGTGGACCTTGGTGGTTATGGTTAACTGGGTGATGATGACAGCCACTGGATTGGAGTACTTAGAAAGCTTCCGAGTGCTAGACAGCTCCACAACTTCTTCGAAAGTATCCACAGGATACAAAGGCTTTGGGTCATTGAGACACTGAATCAAAGGTTCAATCTGGTAAAAATCGGCTTCTTTTCGAAGCAGATCAAACTCCTTAAAATCCAGGGGTAAGGTCAACTCTGAAGTTCTTAAGAAGTTAAGCACGTATCGGAAAAGAGGTCCATCCCGATCGATGAAATAATTGCCTTGAGGGTCTCTAGCTGTGGGGAAGTCCCCCCCAAACATAGCTCCAAGCATGGAATCCGGGTAACGCGTCAATGTGGTAAGAGACGTTGTATACAAGTGTCCACCTACATTTAACGTGACTGGGTCAGTCATCTGAAATTTTTTAAAAAATAATCAGTCATCTGAAAGTGTGAAACACCTAACTCTGACAAAACTACTGGTAATAACAAGCAACCAAGTTAGGCCACCAGATATTCAGTCATTCCGTAATGCAAAATGGCATTTATTGCAATGATAAACCCACCAAGATAAAGGAATCTAACATTTCCTCTGTGGAAAAAAATTTTTGTGAAACTGATTGTAAGAATGGAGGATATGACTTTCAGAACACACAGCTTCTGGCCCAGAAGGTATAGGTCAGGGGACATTACAGGTCAGGAAAGATCAAACTAAAATATATCCCATTTAAGATTTTGTCTAATTTACAAAAACTAGCTCGTATTTTCCCAGTATTTTTATATGTGATAGAATTAAAATGATGTGATAATGTAAAGACATCTACTTTCAATATTTTTGGGGGATTTTTCCATCCAAAGAAGCAAGAAAATCTATGCATTTTTAAAAAATCCATAGAACTAACACTGATAACTATCTCATGGAATTCGGTTTCAAATATGGAGTTAAAAATACATAGCTGGGACAAGACAAACCAGATACAATACCACTGCACACCCTCAGCCTAACTGCAACCTTAACATTTTATAATCTTATAGCACAGTCACTTTTGTAACATCAACATCGTAACACAGTCTTCAGTTCTGAGAAGTAAGCTTCTCTAAATAATACATATCTTCAGTTTTAGAAAACATATTTAAGAAAAAAAAAAACACAGATATAATTCAGGTACTAGGCAAGCAAAACATTTCTGACCAAAGGAATAAATGCGCAGGGAGACCCAGGACACACCTCCAAGGCAGAGAACAGTCTCCCCGCCATGGCTTCCACACCACTATCTGCTAGAAGCTCTCAGTCATCACCACCCCGGAAGGACAGGTTTTAAAAATATACTCCAAAGACCAGAAAATCAGGCCTCAAGGCATTATAAAAGTTACTGAGAGGGCCCGGGCGGTGTGGTCTATTGGCTTAAGTCCTTGCCTTGAACGCTCGGCAGCTCCACTTCCCATCCAGCTCCCTGCTTGTGTTCTGGGAAAGCAGTCAAGGACGGCACAAAGCCTTGGGACCCTGCACCTGTGTGGGAGACCCAGAGAGGTTCCTGGCTCCTAGCTTCGGATTGGCGCAGCACCGGCTGTTGCGCTCACTTGGGGAATGAATCATTGGACGGGAGATCTTCCTCTCTGTGTCTCCTCCTCTCTGTATATCTGACTTTATAATAAAAATAAATAAATCTTTAAAAAAAAAAAGATAAAAGTTACTGAGAGAGCCCAGTGCGATGGCCTAGCGGCTAAAGTCCTCGCCTTGAACATGCCGGGATCCCATATGGGCATCAGTTCTAATCCCAGAGGCCCCATTTCCCATCCAGCTCCCTGCTTGTGGCCTGGGAATGCAGTGGAGGACGGCCCAAAGCCTTGGGACCCATGTGGGAGACCCAGAACAGGATCTGGGCTCCTGCCTCTGGATTGGCTCAGCTCCGGCTGTAATGAACATTTGGGGAATGAATCATTGGACGGAAGAGCCTTCCTCTCTGTCTCTCCTCCTCTCATCTGCCTTTCCAATAAAAACTAATAAATCTTAAAAAAAAAAAAAGTTACTGAGAGTTCAGACTGAGTTTACCTCTGTTAAAATACAACAGAAAATGCAAAAATAAATAAATAAATAACCACCATATGCTGGCTGAAGTGGGGAGAGAGGGTGCCTGCATAAATCAATTTTCATTTTATCTAATTAGGTAAGGGGAAAAGGTACACAACGATAACCTGCCAGGGTTCAAAACACATCTGTGGGAACCACTCACCATATAGCCCCATTCTCCATTATCCATCTGCTCCAGCGCTGCGTCTTCAGGAGCCCAGGTTCCAGGCAAACTTCCAGAAGAGGAAACATACATTAGCACATCGTGCTACGAAAACATACAGAATTGGTTTTCCCACCCAACAGAGCAAACCAAACACCCAAAACCATCATCTGTGCTGAACTACAACCTACCAAACAACGTTGGCAAAGACCTGGAGAAGACAGCATTCCCAAGTCCTTCCAGAAACATCCACCTAAGGACCAACATTCTGCACAGAGGACAACTCCATACCCCAAAAGGAAGAGCCTCGGAAGGAAATTGGCCATATCTCTTCTAGGAAATCCAATTTTTAGAATTTCTATAACAACTGAGAACTAACTCTGCAAATTTATGTTGGTACAAACTTTAGTATGATCCTTATCAAAAGTTATTCAAGAGAAAGAAAGGGGGTTGGTACTACATCCCAGTGGACTATGCCACCACATGTAGTACTAGGCTATTCCACTTCTGACTCAGTTCCCTGCTAACAACCTGGAAAAAGCAGCAGAGGATGGTACAAGTACTTAGACCCCTGCCTCCCCCACATGGGAGACCCAGACGAAGTTCCTGGCTTCAGGTTGGCTCAGTCCCAGCTGTTGCAGCCATTTGGGGAGTGAATCAGTGGAAGGAAGATCTTTCTATTTCTCTTTTTCTTTGTAACTCTGTCTTTGCAAATAAATAAATGAATCTTAAAAGTGGGGGTGGGGGGAGCTGGAGGAAAGCGTCCCAAATTACCAAATCAATAATCTCCCAGGATGCCACTGTTACTTTCTGAGAAATGTTTCAAAATGGTATTCATTTTATAAAAAAAACTAACTATACTTTTCATAATGATATATTTCTCTTCTCATAATAGAATAGAAAACAATTTAAATGCCAAAGCACTGGATCACAATATGAGACCAAAAGAACCTACCAGAGTCAGTCAGACAACACTCAAACAGAGTCTGCCTCAAGACATGGATAAACATCCAGAAACTAAGGCCTCCAGTTTGAATTTATTTTTTACAATTCAAAAGCACTTAAACAAACAGTTTCTCAGCTACTATATAGCCTTAGTCAGTTCCCTCTCACACACTTTATTTCCCCAATCAACTTGCAAAGCAAACTGCAGAGCAAATTTCAGAAGCTCTGGCAAGGGATGGTAGAAAAAAAAAAAAAAAGCCTGGACTCGTGGGTATTCATCCAGGAAAAGCACTGGCTTTTTTATGTGGTCTCTGAACAGATCCACTTTTCCTACTTCTAGAGGAATCTGGCACACAAGTCCCAGAACAAGCCCCGGCTACAGAAGATCACAAAGGCTCTTTCTCAAAAGGTCACTCAGGCATGTAGAGAACATTTGCATAGCACAGCAGGGACTGAAATCAGAGCCCGAAGCATCTAGTCCTCCACCTTGCAAATCCTTCAAAGCAAACGGGCTCCAGTGAGGACCAGACGACGCCATGCAGTCAGTTTTCATTCTTTACACTCAGCAGTTGGATAGAGACAGGCCTCCACATGCTACAGGGTGTGAAACGGAACAAATGTCAAACTCAGACGGTCGTGACAACCTCTCTTTCCTCTGCCTTGCTTCATAAATTGTATTTGAAACAAACAGAACCAAGGATTGGGCTTTACCAATTTGTCTTGCTGGCATCTGATTCAGTTACTGATAATAAGAGATCAGTCACTCTGCAATGTAAAAGGCCAATCATCACAAAGTTCTAGAAAAATGTTCCTCTTTGACATTTGCCATCACCCAAAGTATTCATTCCTGACAGCCTCGTTAACCAATCATTTAATCAACATCTATTCTAAGTTAACCATGAGGGGGGGAAACAGCTATGTGCAATGGGTTACACAGAAACAGGAAAGCACATTCTTGCCCTCATAAAGTTTCTAGTCTATGAAAAACCACATGCACAATGAAGTACAGAACAAACTTCAAAAGTGCAATACAGATGAACCAGCAGAGAGACCCGTGGGAGGGAGAGCAAGCATCCACATTGAAAAATATAGATCCCTGGCAAAAGCTCATTCCGTGGAACCCTGACAGAAAACCCAGACAGAAACAGTGAAATCTGGATAGGAACATCTTTTCCTCCAAGCATACCAAGCAAGCATTGCTGTCCCTACTTTGGAAATGCAAAACAGACACTAGCAGGTTAACGTCCCACAACTAGGAGAAGTGACTAAACCACAGTGTCTTCCAGCTCCTCACCTGCATCTCCCCATAACTCCCCTTCCAGGGTAGAAACTGACAGAAAACAACCCAAGAAACAAGAAATGGGAAGGGATTAACTTTAGACTCCACCTGCCAGGTATTTATGGAGAAAGCTTATAGTACAGGTAAACAAAGCAGTCACAACAGGTTTATAGAAAGTCCTAAGGCAAAAAAATGAGCAATCAAACTATTCACAAATGGTTGCTGCTGTCCAGGGGTGGGGTGGGGGAACAGACATCAGTGTTAACAGCTGGTATGCAACATCTGTCCACTATGAGTTTTTTTTTTTTTCTTTACTGCTAAATCAAAACAAGATAACTCCTGAGCGATCATAAACAGCAAATTAGATAATGTCCCCAAATCTGATTTACACCAAAAGCCAAGGTTCCGGTACAAAGTCATAATGAAACCTCAAGCTTAATAATTCAGCAAAGCAAGTACAGAAATCTATACAAACCCATTTCTTAAGAAGCACCCAAAAGCCTTCCTATAATGTATGTAAGAAACATTTAAAAAAAAAAAAAAGCAGCAAACTCACTGCTGGTCACTTCCAAAATAACGAAACTGTTTTAAAAGTGTCAAATTGTTATGGGGGAAAAAAAAACCAGAATTGATCTGCTCCTTGCTTCTAAACATGCCCTGTGTAGAGATACTCAGGTACAACCCAAAGGGGTTATCCAATAGCTGCAGAATCAGCTTCTGAATTCTGAATAGATGACTATCAGGGACATTTCAGAGACAATGCAGATGAATGAAATAAAACATACTCCAGGGGCTACGGTCGTGGCATACCATTTAAAGTTGATGCCTACAATGCCAACATTCCACGTAGATGCTGAGTCTCAGCTACTAATAAGCCTGGGAAAACAGAGGATGGCCCAAGTCCTTGAGCCCCTGCACCCATGTGCGACACTGAAGAAGCCGTCTCCTGGCTCCAGCCTGGCCAGCCCCAGCCACTGAGGCCATTTGGGGAGTGAGCTGGCAGACAGATCTGTCCCCATTGCTTTCTGTAGCTGTGTCTTTCAAATAAACAAAACAAATCTTTTTTTTAAGAAAATAATCCCAAAGAATTTCCGGGAGAGCTTCAATCTCTTCTACTAAATCATTTTCCAAAGCTGCTAACAATTAGAAAATGATTCATTTTGCTTTTCATCTTTTCTCCCTTCTGGCACCGTCTCCAGTGGAGGGCTTAATGAGAAGTTAAATGACCACAAGAAAGACAGGCAGCAGAAGGAAGAATCTGAAACGGGCATCAAATGGATCGGTTTGACTCAGTGAAGGCAAAGAATCTTTAACAGCTCAGAAAATTTGCCAGCAATGGAGATCACGAAGCTAACAATGAAACAAACTTCCCTTTACGGTGACTTTCCTTACTAAAGATTCTTTTAAGACAGCCAATGTAACCACGCACAATGAGACATTTCCAAGCCAGTTTCTGACCTTGTCAAATCAGTTCACCTGAAAAGATCTGAACTTTGATGCAAATAAAATTTGTGTGCTAATAATATTGACCATTCTCAAAAGATTACAAAGTAGCACTGAAAATTTATCCATATTGCAACTTCAGAGGTTTTTTGCAACTAACTCTGACAGTGAAATGTTAGCAGGTAAATTAAGAAAAATATACACTAATTTTGTAAATGAAGGATTTACAGAAGCCTTAAAAGATATTATAAATTCTTCCAATGTAGCAAATCTGAAGAATGTACAATTCAGCAAGTTAGTAACCCATGAACTCCTTAATGCCATTAGCCCCGCTGTGGCAAAACTGCATTTACAGGCCAACATTAACAGTTGTGATGAGCCAACTTAACAAGCATTCTGAGCTTATCATTTCTTCCAGAGCCTAAGAATCAGCAAGGACCAAAGCTCTACTCCTATAACAAGCTAAGCCTCACAACCCAGACCTCCGAACTTGAATGAACAGCAAAGAAAACCTTCACTGCCTCTGGGAGCTACCGACAAGCCTTTTCAAATGCTCCTCTCCTGGCCCCTCTGCGTCTGGCATTCAGAAAAGACTCAATAAATTCCCTCTATCTACACTTACCTTCCAAACTGCCTTTGTACTGAGTTTCTCTGTTCTTGAAATGTGGGAGTTTGAAAGTGAGACACTTTTTATAGTAACTAGTTCAGCCACATCTAAGAGAGTCTTCGGGGTTAACACTCCCGTACAGGCCAGCACAAGCAGCCAGGCATACATGGATAAGGTGATTACAGTGTTAGAGTATCCTTAACCATGCTACAGCACAAGTGGATGTTCCATTTTTGTTTTTCTTTCTAAAAGTAATTATTCTCTCCCTCTTTCTTTCTTTCCTCTCAACCTCTCAACGGTCTAGAAGAAAAGAGGTCTAGGTTGAAAAGTGACCCTACTACTTCAAAATGTCAAATAGTCACAGCATCGTAAAATTCCTCAGTCTTGGGACTGGTGCAGTAGCCAAGTGTCTAAAGTCCTCCCCTAGCATCCGACAGGATCCCATATGGGTACTGGTCTGTGTCCCGGCTGCTCCACTTCTCATCCAGTTCCCTGCTTATGGCTTGGGAAGGCAACAGAGGATAGCCCAAGGCCTTAGGACCCTGTACCCATGTGGGAGACCTTGAGGACGTTCCTGGCTCCTGGTTTTGGATCAGCTTAGCTCCAGCTGTTGGGGCCACTTGGGGAATGAACCAGCAGACAGATCTTTCCTCTGTCTGCTCTTTCCTCTCCTCTCTGTAAATCTGACTTTCCAATAAAAATAAATAAATCGCTTAGTCTCCACTAAGTAAAAGTGATCAGACCACCTTTCCAAAAGTAATTATGCCACTTAAGCACAACACAAAGGCCTAGAGGTTAACATATCAGATTGAAGTTCCAATCCAAAGGCTACACAGGCGGGTACACAGGAAAGACAACTGGTCGCCAGGGAGGACCTGCCTCGCACTTCTGCTCCCTTACCAACTATGAGGCCTTGAGTCAACCACTCATGTGCCCAGCCTTCTCCCTAGGGAAATGGAGAAAATAAACTAGGTTGCCAATACATTTGCAACGCTATCTTACAAACGCTAAGTACTTCACACATGTGAAAATAACAGCGGCAGTAGAATAAACAAAATTTCTGCAAGTACACTGAGAAACTTAGTTCAAACATAAGCAACTTAGGACTCTGGCCTGGGGGCAGGGCATTACAAACAAGGCCTCTTCATCTGCTCCAAGTCTTCCCGGCCCTGTGGCTGCAGAAGGAAGAGCATGGCTGCAGGTGAAAGGCAGCATCCAGCTCTCAGCCCGACCCCTGGGGAACTGGACTGGAGACCTTCGCAGCAACTTCTCTAAAGCGTGACTCAGGATTATCTCTGTGAGAAAGACATCCAACTGAACACATGAACTCCATTTTAAATAGATGCTAAATATCAAAATACAGGACATATGGTGATTTACACGATTCACCCCAGTATTACTTTGTGTGGTCATGCTTTGGTTAAAACATGATTTATAAACAAACAAACAAATCACAAGGGCCTTGCACAATAGCTCAACTGGTTGGTCCTCCACTGAAAGTGCCAGCATCCCATCTGGGTGCCGCCTGTTCACGTCCTGGCTCCTTTACTTCCCATCCAGCTCCCTGTTTGTGGTCTGAGAAAGTAGTAGAGGACGACCCAAAGCCTTGTGACCCTGTACCCACGTGGGAGGCCTAGAGGAGGTTCCTGGCTTCAGCTCAGCTCAGTCTGGCCTTTGAGAACATTTAGGGAGTGAACCAACAGACAAAGATCTTTCTGTCTCTCCTTCTCTCTGTAAAATCTGCCTTTCCAATGAAAATAAACAAATCTTTAAAAACAAAACAATAACAACAAAAACTCCACAAAACTTAGGAGCTAGAATCTATGGCTATTCTGGCCACTCAACCCTTCTTCTGTGCGGCACCACATCAAATCAAGCAATTAGCACGAACAACCAAATCAACCTCGTTGACAAAAGTATCATTTTCTTTTGCCTGGCATATCCTGTGCCCGGGTCTGTGCTCAATGTTTTCCCCTAATTGTTCCCCTCTCCCAAGACCACTGCTGTGCTAGGACATCCGTGATCCCAGGGGGATTCGAAGGAGATCCTACGCCTACCCCGAAAAACTCCTAAACACCAGATTGGATGATGGTGATCCCAGGGTCTCTTTGCCACCCAAACCTTTCCTACCACACAGTCCTAAAAGTAGGCTTTTCAACCTGTTCCAGAATGGGCATACTTGCACAGAAACAGGGTAACTTCAGCAGAATATCCCCCACAGGAGCTCTGTCACGGTTCATTCCCCAGTCCCACGCCCCCAGCCAGCCTCCTGCAGCCTTCCAGCCCAGCAGGTGCGGCAGAGGCTCCCCACGACTACAGCCACATATCACTTCTGACATCGAGCACAAATCCCATCTGGAAGAACTCAGCTGCAATCTGAGGGTCTCTCCGGAGCAGAAGCCCCTGCCTTCTGCCTTAAACCAGGACACACGCGTTGGTTAATAAGCGCCAGTCTTAACCTTCCCGCCCCCCTCCCCGGGGGGAAAAAAAAACTATCATTTTCAAGCAAACCCGAGTGAGTTCCCCGTGCCGGCTGCGCTTCGCTGCTGCCCCACGAGCCAAGCCCCTCACCACCACCTGGCCCGGGCGCGCGCGGGGCGGGCGATGCTCGGGCCCGGGCGCGGGGCGCGCAGTGCAGCCCCGAGCCCCGGCCCGCCCAGCCGCTCCATCTCGTCCTGCGGGCCCCGGAACCGCCGCCCAGGCCCCGCCGCGGGCTCGTGCCAGCCCCGGGACGCGCGGTCCCCTCGGCGCGGCCCCGCCGCCGCCCGTCTCCAGGGCTCCCCGCCCAGCTCCTGCTCCTCAGCCTCGCCGCCCCGGCCCCTCGGCGCGAGCCTCGCCGCCCCGGCCGCCCCCGACCCCGCCCCAGCCGCGGCCCCGCCGGCTCCGCGCCCGCCCTCACTCACTGCGCGCCGCGGCTGCTGCCCGGCCGGGAGACGCCGGCGGCCCGAGAGCGCGAGCGTGGGGACGAGCGAGCCCGCGCCCGGCGGCGGCGGCGGCGGCGGCACAGGGGACGACTGAGCCCGAGCCCGGAGTTGCGACTCCAGCTGCCCAGCGCGGGCGGCGCCTTCCCAGCACGGCAGCGAGTGCCGGCGCCCCCTATCGGCGGAGCGAGCGGGAGGCCCGAGGGCTGGGAGAGGAATAGTGTGCGCGGCCTCCACTGCAGCCCCGAGGCCCCGCCCCGAGCCCCGAGGCCCCGCCCCAAGCCCCGAGGCCCCGCCCCGACTCCGCCCTCAGCCCGGAATCCGCTCAGCCCGCGCCGTTCACGCTTTGCTAGTCGTCGGTGCTCATCCAGAAGGGTACGGCGAGTTCTAAGGCGAGGAGAAGATGGGCAACATTCAACAGCTAGCAGACAAAATAATGCCAAACTTGTGATCGATCCTACTCGAGGGGAGAGCCTGAACAAGAGGAGGGGGCCTCTGATGCAGACGCAGTGGCCAGGCGAGGCTGCCCTCCACCCCGCCCCAGCCTGTGTCCAGAG